CATATATGTGAGGAAAACCATCTGAAATACGTGATTAGTAGAGTCCGTGTAATGAGTACATTGTGTTCTCAACATCTTCCAGGAGCTGTGAATAAATCACTGTATTTAGCTGCTTTGCCATCAATGAAAGGCACCAATGAAAACTAAGTGCAGGTTACTTGTACATTTTCAAGGAGTTGCCTCAAGTCACAAACAGTCCACTTCAGTGGAGTAGCTGACACAAAATTTGGCTTTATTTTGACTAAATACAGATTTATCCTTGAGTGTTTGTATTCTTAACAAAGAGGAATTTTGCAATACAGAAAAACATTATCCTAGTCTTTAAGCTGTAAATGCCAAAAAAGAAAATAAAAAATATTATGAAACTTTCCTGTATATTAGCATTACCAAAGAATACTTGTGTCAACAACCTTACTTTTTGTACTGTTCTAAACAAAGCTAGCTGAGTAGTCTTGAGCCTAGTCTTGGTTCCTCTGGTCTTTTGAAAGAGAAAGGTTGCTCTGAGGTAAAGAAACGGCTCATCACAGGAGCTTAATTTAGGTGCATTCTGGATTTGCTGTATACACAACGCTGGATTTATATGTTATACATAAGCAGTTATATATTTTTATGCAAGTTTTTCTACTGATCCATTTCTAGGAATTACATAGGATTATTTTAGAAGTGCCTGAATAGGACTGGAAAGGGGTGTGTGGTTGCAGCTTCAGCATTCTGGGTGCCAGCTCCAGTGTGACTGATCTCTGTTCTGACAGCCCTTCCTCAGGGGTGTGTGTCAAACATTCTTCTCGCCTGTCACCTGTTTTGATGTCTGTCTACTTAGAGTTTCAATACCCTGTCTACATTTAGTTTTCCTGGCATTAAGTATATTGGGTTGGAGGAGAAAAACTTGCACTTTAGCTTATCCTGTCCCTGATGTTGACCCATTTATGCTAAGAGAGGAGGTTTCCCTGTTTACAGTACATCCTGTCAGTATATAACACATACTGGCATGAGCAGGAGAGACTATACAGTGTGTACAGGGCCTAGATGAAATTTTGATTATTTCTTGGATATTAACTGAGGTTTAAGTAACTTTCACTATGTTTGACAAATCTGGTGCTTTGTTCTGGATTTAGTAGCTTGGAATTTAAAAATTTTAAAATACCCATTCAAAAAAGAACATTTATTGATTTAAGTTGATTTAGTTCTGTTGATGTTGCTTAGGATGCATAAATTCTTGGAAATGGCTTTCAATTTTGGATCTTATATTTGGGCCTGACTGTTTTCCTCCTCTTTGTAGGAAGGTATGGTACGATGTGACACGGCTGTGGGAACACCAGACTATATCTCTCCTGAAGTGTTGAAGTCCCAGGGTGGTGATGGTTACTATGGGCGAGAATGCGACTGGTGGTCAGTTGGAGTCTTTTTGTATGAGATGCTTGTAGGTGAGTCATAGGGTAATCAGAATTGAATGCACTACTTAACAAGATTCTGCGTTAAAATCATTGGTTTTTCTAACTGTTTAATTAGTTATTCTTCTGACATAAGATGTGGTTTACTGATTGTGGTATTTACAGGATGTATTTTGGAAATACTCTGGCACAGTTCTCAAACATTTGTCCTTGCCTCTTGTTCACGGAAGTTGCTTACATTGTTGCATATGTAGTTCAGATATTGTAAGTCAAATCTACAATATTTTTGATCTACTTTTTAATTTTTGCATTGCTACTTTTTCAGGTGATACACCTTTTTATGCAGATTCTTTGGTTGGAACATACAGTAAGATTATGAACCATAAGAATTCCCTTACTTTCCCTGATGACAATGAGATTTCTAAAGAGGCAAAAAACCTTATTTGTGCCTTTTTAACTGATAGGTAAGATTTAAACTTTACTCAAAATGAAAGTAAGCTTTTGTTAAGAGAATTTCTTCTCATGTTGAAAGAACACACACATATATATATATATATATATACACACACATATATATATATATAAAATCTGATTTGTGTGGGTTTCTAAACTGCTTCACAGAAATGATTATTTGGGAGAGAAGGATGCTGCTGCTTTTTGTGGTATTAGCATGTGTACTAGGGGAAGGGAAGTGCTGCTACTATGGGTACATCTGCCTTATAAATTTAGTTTGAATATGAGGTGTTACTCCATAGTAACAGCTACTGTTGCCTTGGTCTGTGTTGCACAGTGTTGAGGGGCATGCAAAATGGATTCCTTTTGGATGAAGCTAAAGCAAAAGGTGTGTTTCAGGGGTGCCCTTAATGCACTCCGAGCTCTTAGTGGGCATTCATGGTCAGGGTAGAGTGAGCCCAAAGAAAGCCTATCTGAAATGTGGGTGTTGGGTCTTGTTTGACTTTGTGAGTACACCCCTGTTGTACCCACACTGCTTATTAATATAACCATTTGCATAACCATCGCTTGAGAACTGGTGCTGTGAAGGCATGGGGCTGCTGCGTTTGCTGGGCTGCATGGGGTTCAAACAATAGCATGGACTCCTAAAAAACATGGAACCTAGCTGCTGCTTGGCAGCTGCCTAGCTAGTCTGTGATGGTGGAAACCGTGGCAGCAGGACTTCTTATGGACCAGACTTAAAACCAGACTGTTGTGAAATGTAGCTGCTGTGCTCCTACCGATATCTTCATATGAAAAGTTTGAGATACATCTTTCTTACCTTAGTTTGAGAGGTAATTTTTTGTCTTTGTTAGATTATGCCTTAGAATAAGTCTTTCCTTCAGAATAATTTATGTCATCTTCCATGCTTAACCAAAACA